GCTGAGGCCCTGCCAAGTCCTTTGCTTCCTACAGTCTTGTTGGTGGATATCAACAAATATTTTTCAGCTGTTGTTCAGACTGTAGGAATTGGTTTCTATGTTTCTTGGGTGCTTTGCTCGCAGGACCTTCTGCAGCACCTCCTGTGGGGAAACTGAGGCAGAGAGGAGCCCAAATCAGAGGGAAATGCTGCACCTTGAAGGAAGAGCTGAGGTCTTTCTGCAGCAGCTGGACTGGATGAATGCTTGGGGATCTCGGGAGTGCAAGGAGCACATTTATTGCCCAGAAATGCCTTTGCTCATGCAATGCAAAAGAAATCCTTGGTTTCTCGAGCGTTAAAACAAAGCAACTGTCTGTCTTGGCTGTGTGACAAGAAAGGGTTAGAGTTTCTAATGGACTTGTGTGTTATGACTCTGAAGCTGAAAAACTGGGAGAGGAAAAAAACCACAGTGCCAGGCTTCTTGTGTTGTGGGGCTGGGGAAGCTGAAGCCCAGGGATGCCTCCCTGCTCTGCCCCTGTAGGCAATTAATGGCCGGGGAGAGCCCAGGTAGCTTAATGAAATGGGATGGAGGTAAACTTAGATTCCGTGAAATAAAACAGCTTTTTATGGCGAGGGGGCTTAGTGCTGGGTGAAGTCAGAAGTGCTGAAGTGGATTATAAATGGCACTGGTTAATATTAAAAGTACAAAAAAAAAGGAAGCCAGCAGCTTGTGTAGGAAATTCCAAAGCTTGCACACAATATGTTTCTGGCCTGTGTCTCTTATGAACATTTATGGGGAAATTCTGACCTGGAAACACTTTTTTGCATTAAAGCACAGCATTAAGTAAACAAACTGCACCAGAACTGGAGGTTTTACAAGCATGTGGAAGCTTTGAGAGCCTGTCACATTCAGCTGATGTCCACGGGGTTCCTTGAAATACTTTGATTTTTGGTTGAGCTGTGTCCTGATGCTCTCAGTGCTCCCTGGCAAATATTTTGGGACCTTGGTAGCAGCTTGTGGGGCTATGGGAGAGTGTCAAGAAGTGGGTTGCAAAGATGTGATGTGCTGGGTCAGGGGGCTCAGCAGCACCTGAGATGGGCTGCTGCCTCCTCTGCAACAAGCCACCTTTTCCTTTCCTCTGCAGGCACCTGTTTTGTGGTCCTGTGGATCAGCTGGTGTGTGCAACTTGGCTCCTGACACGGGTGCTTTGGCTTTCACATGTGCTTTGTTGCAGTTGTTAAAGCAAGCCACAGACTTCTCCTTTCCTTCCCACACTTAAGGTAGTTTCCTTTTAAGAGCCTTTTCATCTCTAATATTAATAGAAAAATGATGATTTCCTTACCTAGTCTTAGCTTTGCCAACTGTGAAAGGCTTTTTAGTAGCTTTTGGACCTGACTTGTTTTGCTGGAAATATATATATTGCATTTGTATCTCCTCCCAGTGAACTGAAGTGATGGTGGGACTGCAGCACGTGTGGGCAGCACTTTGCCTCCTTGGGTTTCACATCATTGCTTCTCTTACTGCTTAATCAAACAAATCTATCTAAAAGCCACTGGTTGGACTTGGTACCTTTGAAAGCTTTATTTTTCTTTCCAAATATTGGTTCCTGCTGGAAGTTAGGAACCTGCTGGTCCTGTGACCCAGGGCTGTGTGAGGATGGGGCATGGGGAAAGGCAGCAAGTGCAGCTTGCATGGCTCTGTGCTGGGGCTGTTTCAAGCCATCCTCTAACTGAACAGTGGCTTAAAAGCAATTCCTCCCTCTCCTTCTGCTGGGATTCAAAGGAAAGGGAGAGAGGCCAGGGCAAGCTGAGGGGTTACATGTGTGGAGATGCAGTACATAGTCTGAGCGTGGTTAAACCCGTGGGTCATGTTTGCTGGCCAGCAAGGCAGACCTGTGCCTGATCTGTACAGAAATGATAAAACTGAAATGCAGGAGGGGTTTTACAGTAGTGTTTTCAATAATGGCTTTGCAAAAAAAGCGTGAAGTATCTGTTGGTAAGTGGAGGGCAGTATCTTATTCTTGAGTGCAGGGAAAATCCTGAATGAAAATACCTTTCCCAGCTCTGAGCTGCATAGCCACAGCACTGTGCCGGAGCCTTCCCAGCAGCTGGAAAGACAAGATTCCAGCAGTCCTGCACCGCTTAGTCAGGAGAGGCAGTATGCAAACACACCGGGGTTGCTGGGAGAGGAGGCTGGCTCATGCTCCGTACCTGGCTTGACACCACTGGATGTGTGTTTTCCCATGGGAGGATCCCTCTCTGGAGGAGAGGCCGCTCTGTGCGGGCTCTCAGGCATGTGGTTTATTGGTTTGCCCCAGCTGCGAGAGCTCTGGGCGCAGGCAGACTGGAGGAGATGGATGCTGGTGGAAACTACCCATGCCCTGTGTGGGTTTGCCAGGCTGGGAGTATTTATGCAGGCAGGGTTGTGTTGGGGCAGGTGTGTCTATGGCCTGGCAGCAAAGCCAGCAGCACTGAGTCACCCTGTCCTGTGCATGTGCCTAAAAAGCAAATAATCCGGTGGCTTTGTGCCCCGCAAGAACCCATCTGACCTTGCAGGAGGATGGCACAGGAGCTGGTGTCTGGTTCTGGTAGCATGGCTTTCCCGTGGGTTTTACTTGCTGGTGATGTGGGTTTGCTGCACAGGCTTCCCACTGCCTTTGCAACTCCGTCTCCTGAGCAGGAGAAATAGGATCTTTGTAATTACTCTGCAAATAGCTTTCGGAGAGAAAGCCATAGTTCATCTTACACAGGATGCTGCAAGAGATTGTTGCTCCCATGGGTTTTTCTTCCCGAGCATCCCTGGGGGATCCCTCTGCACCTTGCCTGTTGGCAAACCCTTTTTGTGACAATCCTCTTGGGAAGCCTCCAGATGGAAGTGGCTGATATTGCCTCTGTGTGAAGGGCTTCTCTCTACCTCTAGGCTTAAAATAAAGTAAAATACCCCTCTTTGGCTTGTTCAGGCTTCCTCCTGTCTCTGGCTTTTGCCGGTATTTGGGTAACCTCTGCAAAGTTGCTGCAGGAACCAACTGGAGCTGGTTACTGCAAAGTACTGATGCTCCTCTGCTACCCTGGGGGTCTGAGCTGCCAGGGCCGCAGCAATGCAAGCCTTGTGCCAGCTTTGCTCTTTTCATGCTTAAATAAACAGCAAAATGGGTTGGGTTTACCATGGTGAGAGTCGCTTTGGCAGGCAGAGTCCCTTGGCCATGTCTACAGCTCTCCTGGTGTCCGAGTCTGTGTGTCTGTCCTGGTTAAAGCCACTGTCCTGCCACCCTCTTGCCAAGCTGTCAGCTTTCCAAGGCAAGTCCTGCTTTTCTAAGAAATCCACTTTTTTGTGGTGGGCAGTCTCTGGGCAGCTGTAGTGATTAACAGTCCTTGGGCACACCTTGCCTAGGGCTGTGATCCCCTGCGTGGCTCCCCTGGGACCCCGGGTTATCAACCCCCCTGGCTTGCGATGCCGTGTGAGGATGTAAATCCCATTTTGGTGATCCTGACTCATGCAAACCAGTGCTCCTGACTCTGATGGGAAAAGCATTACTCACGTGAGCCTGTTTGCAGGATCAGGGCTTTAATTGCAGGGTTTGCCCATCTCGTAGTGTGGGAACTGGAGCCATTACCCCCCTAAACCTCCAGATCATTCCCAATACATTAATGTTTCTAATTAGTTAAGCCTGATGCCTTTTTCTCTCCATAATGACAGTGGCGCTAGTACTTACTCGTGTTCGCTCTGCGTGCCGGTACTTCATTATATAATGATACAGTGTGTGTTGTAATACCTATTCCCAACTGACTGTGGTTTTCTTGCATATGCCTCATCCAGAACTGATTAGGCAATGGAGAAGACAGGCTAGTGCAAATAAATGTTTGGGTCGCATCCTTTCTAATTAGCTGGGAAGCTATCGGGGGGGGGGTTAGGGCCAGGTGAGGACCCAGAGCTGGTGGTCAGTTGCAGGTTGCTGTGGGATGGGTGGGATGAAAACCCATCGCCTGTTTTCATGCTCCTTTAGGGGATGAGCTGCCCCTTTGCCTGGGCTGTTTCATTCCCAGTTCCTTCTTCCCTTCCTTCCAGGGAAACCATCTCCGTGGCAACCTCAAACCTCCAGGCTCTGCCTCGGAGCTGCTCGCCCATTCCCAGGACCCGGTGGGTAAGTGCCTCGGCAGGGCTGGCCGTGGTGGCCCTGGCCACCGGCTTCACTAGCCTGCTGCAGGCACCTCAGTGCAGCCCAGGGAGGCGAGGGCTGGCGTCGGGCTTGGCAGGGCTGTGGGTATATAAACCTCATACCCCGGCTCCTCTCATCCTTGGGGGTGAGGAGACTTAAAAATGGGTGGCCAGGGCTGTCCTTGTGCAGGAAAAGCTCTGCCCTGGCTCTGGATGGGGTGCCTGGGTTCAAGGTGACCCCTTGTGCTGCTCCCATGAAGGTGCTCTGCTTGGGGTCAGGGATGTGTCTGTGTGTAAAGCTGGTCGTGCATCCATCAGTAATGGTCTTGGTTAGACCATGACCAAGCCTGATACTGATTTTTCGTCTCTTCCATCATGTTAGTTGTAGGGAGAGCAGCAGGGCCAGCACCCGGTGACAGGGACTCTGTCCCCTCTCAGTACTGCCTGGGCTTGGAGTGCAGTGACATGGTGATCACCACGGAGGTGATCATCGCTGTGCTGGGCTGCCCAGCTTGTGAGGTCATACGTGCCCATCTCTGGTGCCATGCAGGAGGGTGGTGATGTGCCTGCCTTGTAGGTGGGCAGAAATGGGTCCTGGGAGATGTGGGGTCTTGCTGAAAGCCTGCTGGGGCCTCAGTGTTTCCCAGCACAGGGCAGCAGCAGGAAACACAATTCCTCTCTGGCATAATTGGGATTAATGATGTGGAAGGGGGGCAGGAAATATGTGTAAGGATGAGTGTGCTTTGCCTGGAGCTGGTTCCTGGGGAGGCTGAGCCAGAGCATGGTGGTGGGGATGCTGTGGGTGCTGGGTCACCGCTCTGCCTGTGGGACTGACCCTCTCTGGCCCTCGGTCCCTGCAGGGCAGGATGAAGCTGCTGGGTGCTGTGTTGCTGGCTGCTGGCCTGCTCGGCACTGCTGCCCGGGGGGAGCAGCCCCCCTGGCCGGAGGAGCCTTCGCGGACCTGCTTCTTCCAGACGCTCAGCAGCACGGACAGCGAGTTCTGCAGGTGAGACTCCCTGTTGTCTCCTTTCCAAACTGCACCGGCCCTGGGCATCCAGTCATGCACTGCCCTTGCATGTCACCTCCTGGGACAGTTAATTCCAGTATCCCCTTTGCCAGGGCTATAAATATTGGTTGCTTTCTTCCTTTTGCCAGGAATCTGGGCCAGAGCGAAGCAGAGCAGTGCCCGCTGCGCTGTGTGGCTCTTGTTTTATGCAAGCCGAGATCTTAGTGTCTCCGGTCACCTCGAGTTGTTCCTTGGTCCATTTTGCAGAGGTTTTAAAGCGCCTTACAGCACAGAGATGACAAATGTTTTCTGCAGAAAGTTTCAGAGGAAGGAAGAGCAGCCCCTGAGTGCACCCCGTTATCAAGTGTTTCGATGCTGAACGCCCTTGGCTTAAACTCTTCTTGTCTGTGGGTCGCCGTAGATGGGAGGCAGGGCTGGGTGAGCAGCGGCACGCGTGTGCCCCTTGCCTTTGGGGGGTTCTTCATATCCCATGTTACTGGGAGCTTCTGCATCAAAAACGTCCTTTCTGCTCCCTGTCAGCTAACCAAAATGCTCTCTAAATATGAGCAACTTAAGCTTCTAGATTGAGGCAAGTGGAGATTTCACTTGGCCCCAGGTTCCTCCCACAAACCATGAGCGAAAGCACCTGGCTTTGAACTCTCAGCCTCCTTTGTGCTGCTGTGGGTGTTTGCTCAGAGCCTCTGGGGCTGCAGGGTTTAAGGGCCCCTCCTGCAAGGCTCACGTTGGTGGCAGCTGATCTTCGGGGTGGCCTTGGGACTCGCTATCCATGCGCTGCAGTGACCTGATGGCTTGCTCCAGCGGCCCCTTTCTGTGTTAGATAATGCAGAAGGGGAAAGCACTTTGTGCAGAAGTTGGAGCTGGAGATACCTAACCTGTCATTGCTCTATTGGTGCTCAAAACACAGGGGAGGCTTGTCCCTGCTTCCATATTGCAAGTGGGAGAAGGAGGCTCAGAGCTCAAACAGCTTCTGAGGCCAAGGGGGAGTGAAGGGTAGCTTTGCTCCCCATCTCCAAGCCTTGGATTAACCCATATGGGCCATGATTTTAAAGACTATGGAAAATACTGGGAACAACCTAAGGTGTACTGAGCCATAATGAATGTTTAAAGTCTTGCTGCTGCCTGGGAGAGGGAGCAGACCCCATGGATATAGCATAACAGCATGGGAGGGCGCTTATCCTGGTGCACAAGGTGTCCAGCACCTTGGGTGACAGCAGGTTGGATCCTGCATCTCCCACCCAGCACTGCAGCTCAAGCCTGGCTGGCAAGTGGCACTAATTCCCATCCCCTGCATGGTGTGGTCTCACCCTACATCTCTCTTTCTCTCCCCAGAGGGGATTTAGAAATTATCTACCCGGAGCTGGGCGATGTGGGCTGCACATACATCCCCAAGTGCCACCAGTACCGGCGGCGGATCAGCAGGGAGTGGGGCAGCCCCCGTGTTCGGTACCCCCAGGCTGAGAAGGTGAGTCCTGAGTCGTGTTGCTTGTGGGCAGCTGCTCTGTGCTTCTCTGTTAATTAAAGGCGTAGCCAGATCATGGGGGAGGAATTCACTGGGAAAGGATTGCTTACATACATGTGTACTTTGAGCCTGGCTGTGGCACCTGAGCTGGGCAGGCAGGGACACCCGCTGCCTGTGCTTTGGGTGCTGGGAGCGGCCCGGGAGCTGTTCACCCTGTGTTGTGCACAGCTTTGCACTGCTGTCCTGCGGCCGAAGCGCTGTTGGCTGCTCGGCTTCTGCTTATTAAACTTGTGCCTGAAATCAGGGTGACTTTCTAAGCTTTGCCCTGTGTTTCCCCATTGCTTTAGGGTTTTGGTTTGAGGCTTGGCTGTTGGTAAAATTAAACTAATTTGTTTTTTGCTACACTGTAGCAAAATTTTGCACGCATGGATTTTTTTTTGCAATTGCTTGTAAACTTTTTAAAGCAAACATACGCTTTGCCTGGGTGTTTACATCCCTTGCTGGTGCATGTGTGAGGGTGTCTGCCTGCAGACACCGGCTTAATTAATCTCCCCCGGGCCGTGCAGGAGCTGTAGGGTTTGTAACGGGGGGTCAGCGTGTGCTGGCGGTGCCCGGGAACGGGGGGACGGGGACCCCCGTCGCTGCTGGGGGCCCCCCGCCGCCGCTGTTCCCCGCCGCCGCCGCCAGGTGGCAGCATTGAACTTCCCGAGCCCCCGCGATGCCGGGCACTGGGAGGACTGGGAGCACTGGGAGCCGCTGGGTCCCCTCCTGGCTGCTGCAGCCTTGCTGGAGGGTGCCCTGGGCAGGGGAGGAGAAGGAGGACAAGCGCGCTGTTGTGCTGGTTTTTACTGGGTGGCATCCTGCACCCTCAGTGGCCCATGGCAACCTGTCCGGCTTGGGGACCGCAGCCGGTGGCAGGGTGCGCTGGCCTCTGCTGGCAGAGGAGACCTTGTCCCCAAATCCACAGTGCAATTCCTCGTCGGCACCCTGATAACCGCCATGTGTGGTTTCCCCATCATTAGCTCCAACCCCGGCAGCTGCAGACGCTTCTGCTGTAGCTAATAAGGGAGAAACTCGGCTCTTGTGCATCTTGGCTTTACCGTGAAGTGTTAAGAATCAGTTTTTCTGCCTGCTTCATTGCCGTCTGGAAAGTCTCTTCCCCCTGTTGATCACATGGTTTGAAGTATAACTTTCCCTTAAAGATGTTTGAGTCTTCCAAAAAAAATCATCTTCCCTGGCAGAGGATGCTGTATGTGAAACCATCCATCACTTGTGCGTTGCTTTCCAGTAGTTCGAAGTTTCCCAGGGATGTAGGCAGTTGCTTTTCTTTTGTATTTTTTGTCCTGGAAAGCAAACTACGGCAGGGAGAAGGGAAGGGACTGGGCTGTGGTGATGCAGGTGGCTGCTGCTCTGTCCAGTAAATGATGCTGTGGGAGGATTTGGGGGACAAGCGGAGCCGGACCCTTGGCTGGCTGTGCCGGGGGGGATGCAGGCTTTGCATTTGTGAACCTGCCCAGGCTGGGCTTGGGAGCTGGCTGCATGTGTCACTTGTGGATATTTATTTTGGGATGGGATGCCAGCTGTGGCACCGGGGGGTGGGCAGGTCCCCAGGGGGCCGGCGGCTCCCGCTGGCATCGGGACTGGCTGATGGCTCGTCTCCGCTGGTGGATTTGGCACCGATTCCTTCCAAGACAACTCAGCACATCTTGCGCTGAGGCGGCATCTGAGGACATGGGCCCCGCTGCTTCCCTTGGTTTGCATTCGTTCTCTCCTCTGGCCTTAGCCAGAAACCCATCCCCAGCTCCGCGCAGCTGGGAGCCTTCCAGCTTTTGCAGGGTGCCAACTGGGAGTTTAATTTTGGGCAAGGGGTTGGATGGCCTTAAATTGGTTGTGGAGAACTGACTCTGAATTGCTTTATGCTTTCTCTATAGGAATATATATTTTTCTTACTCCTGAACCCGTAAGGATGCTTTGGGAAAACCTTTTTCTACAAAAAAATCACCCTAAAGCAAGTGGGACAGGAGATGCCTCATCCTGTGCTAGGGCCGAGGCGTGCACAGGCGACAGGGTTGCTTTTTATGGTTTACGATGGGATTTCTAAGGTTGGGAAACTTGATTTTTTTTTTAATTGCCAAGTGAGACTGGGAAACCTCACTTTGCTAAAGTTATCTCCATCTATACGCGATGCTTCTCAGCACGGCGTGGTGCTATGGCCCTGCCGAGGCTCGGTGATCTCGTGGATGGAGCGGTGAGAAATGGGCTGGGTAAAGGGCTGGCTACGCTTTTTCCAGCAAACTCAGTGGCAGAAAAACTCGGGGTTTGAGTATGAAAACTTGTGTAGGAAGTGTCTGCTTTCTGTGGAACACTTCGTCTCTTCAAGAAAAACAACCACCAAAAAAGCCAAATGTGGAGTGTTTGTTTTTATCTCTGGAAATATTTATCAGTTTTCTGGGGGGAGGGAAATGGGACATTTCCCATCCTTGTTCCAGAGCTGGGTAATGGGTCTGGTGGGGGCCGTGTTTCACCCCGCCTGTGCTGAAGGCCTCTGCTCGCAGCCTTGATGTGCCTTGATGCTCCTTGGCGAAGGCGAAGTCAATGTGTTTGTGGGTGAAGGGTCTTCAGGTGGGGTGGCATCTTGCAAAGCTGAGCTTTGAGGGGCATCTACCACTGCTTGGCCTGAGGAATTTTAATACATCGTCTTAGGTGTGTTATAGGGTTTTCACATACTGGTGCATGTCCAGTTTAGACACCAGGGCATTGCAGCCTGGCAGCCAGCTGTATCAAACATCACTTTTGGGAAGTAAAAGACCTGTCTTTTGACTTCTTTTGGTACAACTAAGGCAGCTGATGCATCTGGCTGCTGTCTGTGAGCAGCACACTCGGGCAAAGGAATAAAAGATGCATTGCCAGATACAGGAGGCCAGTGACTGGTGGTTTGGGTACCCTGGAAACCCTTAAACTGCTGGGCACAGATATACAAACCTGCTGCATGCATGGCTTGGGTGTGTGGGATGTGTCTGTCCCACAGCCCTGTGCTGGGGCAGAGCAGCCACTTGGTCCCTCCTGGTGTTGCAGAGATCCGGGTGGGTGTGGGGTGCAGCCCTGTGATGCCGAGGATACTCGGTCCTTGCTAGGAGACCCCTCTGAGCAGCGGATAACTTGCTCTGCAGGCATCCCATGCAGCCTTTGGGTACTGCTGCAAAGATGTGACATGGAGCAAATACTGAACGCAGCCATTGAAGTATCTGTCAGCATCCTCCTGAAAACCCCGGCAGAGGAGCTGCTTTCCCAGGCCGAGGAGTGGAGAACATCTGGATAGATGGGAAATGCACCCTCCTTGTCCTGCCTCAATATTGCTTTGCTCAACCAAAAAATAAATTGGAAAAGAAAATTGGACATTGCATCAATTTGGGGCAAGTTTATAAATTCTGCAGCTAAGCAATCCCAATAGAAAATGATAGATCGCCAGCGAGCATGCAGCCCCTGCCGTGATGTATAGTCGCATTAGCTGAAATGCCGTGTTACATGATTCTGTTTTATTACCACTGTTGGTGGCAGACAGAAAAACAGATTACACTTGAGATCAAATCGATAGGAACTTTATTTACTGGCCTTTTAAAAACATATTTCTGCACTTTATAAAAACATACGGTAGATGCTATTGATAGAACTTGTCTGCTTGTTAAAAAGCAATTTACCCGCCGTGATGTTCTCAAGCTGCAGTTTACAGTACTACCTTTTACCTGCTCTTCCAGATTTGTTTTCATCGTGGGGTTTGACGACTTCCTTAGGGGTTTCTTTGGGCTGTGCTGTTGCTCCTTTAGGGTGCGGGGAAGGGGTAGGACTTGTTTGCTGGCCAAAGGGCCAGAGGTCTCAGAAATAAAGTGCTTTTCTTGGGGTTCCTACCCTAAACTGAACTTTTCTTAAACTGAAATTGTTTTTGCAAGAACCTTCTCCTGTCCAAGCCAGTCTGAGAAGACAACTTGTGCATCCATGAGCTAGAACTTCTTTCTGCAGCTGCGCAGATCACTGTGTTTTCTCTGCTCTTTCAAGAATTGTATGTTTTCATGGTACCTTATTTAAAACCGCTTCCATGGCAGAATGAGCTGGAGCTGAAAAGGCAGCTGGAAGAGCCCCCCAGCCATGCGAACCATGGGATGATGTCCTCGTGGGTTGCATCGGGCTTAATGCAGCAGTGGCTCCATGTGTTTTTGGTGCCTAAACCTGTAACCAGCACCCTGGGGTGCTGCTCTGAGGCTGGAGAGCCATGGCCGTGCCCTGCCATGGCTGTGCCCAGGGTGAAGGGCAGGAGAATGAGCCTCTCCTAGAGCTTGGGTCCTGCCTGGAGTCCATGGCAAAGTCCGCTTGCTGGTTATGTCCCATCCTTGGCCCTGACTCCTTCTTTTGTGAACACTTGGTGGCTGGGTTGGGAACAGTCCTGATTTATAAAGGTTTCTGTGCTCTAGGGTCTGAGGCCCATTATTTGGAAAATTACTTGTATGAGGAAATTCATTAGCTTTTAACAAAAGGAGGAGAAGGTCTGCTTAATCTCCTAATTGGGATGTGTTCTAGTTGTGTCAGGCAGTGATTTGCAGCTGGTGAAGAGGGGCCTTTTGGGCAGTGCTCAGGTTGAATTCAAGTCTCATTAAAGAAGATGGTTTTAAGCAGAAGATTCCTGACAGTTTGTGTATCCTTGCTGGCTCGGGAACCGTCTGGGGTTAAGGAGCCACCAGCGTGTTTCTCTCTCAATCCTGTCTGGGCTACTTAAAAATAACAATGGCCTAACATTCCTTCCTGATGCTGTCAGCTAGATTTTATGGGGATTAGCCCAAGCCCCTGGTGATGAACCCCTCCCTTTTGGCCCTGCTGGAGCTGATGCTGGTTTGGGTTCCCATGCCCTGGGACCATGCCATGGCATACCAGCATCCCCGACTTCAGAGGGCTGCCAGCCCCGCGGCTCCCCGGCGCCTGGGACCGTCCCGGCTTTGCAGCGGGTTCTGAGC